TGGTCTCCGACGCCCCAGGATCTCGCAGCTGATCGCTCTCGGGGATTCAAAGGCAGAGCGAGCGAGCGAGACCGAGAGACCCCCCCTTCCCCTCCCTCGCCGTCTTTGTTTCCTTCCCCCCCTCTGCGCTCCCCACTCCCCCACCCCACCCCCTCCGCCCTCCTCCTCCTCCTCCTCCTCCTCTCGCCGAGCGGCGGCGGTCGGAGATGGATGCGTCCCGGTGCCCGGCCGAGCGCGGGCTGTGGCGGGTGCTGCTGCTCGGGAGCCTGTGGCTGGGCCACGCGCGCTCCGTGCTGGCCTGCCCGGCCAACTGCCTCTGCAGCAGGACGGAGATCAGCTGCCGCCGGCCGGACGACGGCAGCCTCTTCCCGCTGCTGGAAGGGCAGGACTCGGGAGGCAGCCCGGGCAACGCCAGCGTCAACATCACCGACATCTCCCGGAATATCACCTCCATGTAAGTCAGCCGGCAGACGGACCGACCGACCGACCGACCCCGGGCCATCCCCTCCCGTCCCCGGCGGCCCTGGCTGCCCGGCTGCCCCGCAGCTGGCCCCCGGGGTGGCTCCGGAGATGCCTGGGGCCGGCCGTGGGTATTTCAGGTGACACCGGCCCTGGGGCGAGATGTGATCGGATGGTGCGTGCGTGTGTGTGCATGTGTGCGTGTGTGCACCCCTCCGGGAAGGGGGGAGTCCTGCCCGGCCGGAGCCGGCCACGGGCTGGTTTCCAGGGTGCCAGTTGTCCTCTTTGCCCCCCACTCTATAGCAACAGTTTGGCCGGGCTCAAGAGGGATAAAGTAGATCGGAGTCTGGCTGCTGCACTCAGGGGCCGGGCACCCTGGGCGGGGAAGGGAAGGGAAGGTGACAGGGGCGGCTTGGTGGCGGCTGTGGGGGACGGGGAAGGTGTTTTTAACTGTTTCCTCTTGGGCAGTAAATAAGTTGGGAGCTGGCTGCCCCCCGTGTCCAGGCTGTCATGGACGCCTGCCTCTTCCCTTTCCCCCCTCTTTCCCATCCGTCCGCCCTCTCCATCCGGGGCCCCCCTCCCCATTTTCGGTATTTCCGAGACATCCTCCCCCCCCCCCACATACACGGGCCCTTATCCCAGCTTCTGCCCGTGGGTGTCTGTCTATCTGTCTGTCTGCCTGCAGAGCCTTCTTGGGCTTGGACTTTGGCAACTGCCATGGGTAATTTTGAGTCGGGAGAGTGGAAGGGAGAGGAGAGGACTTGTGTTTGGGGAAGGGGGGGGGTTCCTCTGAGGATCCGGCACCTCCTTTTCTTTGGGAAATGGAACTCGCTGGCTGGCAGGCCGGCCGGCGGCCCCCCCCCCCCCCGGCCTGGCGAGCATGGCCGAGCAAGTGAGACCTGTAGTGTGGCCTTATTCTTTTCCTTGTTCTTTTGCTGTAGCAGGGATGGGGGTCAGATGCATAGAAAAGGGCGAAAGCAAGCACTCAGGGGAAACTGTCCATCCTTCCGGCTCTCCTCCAGGTGACCCCCTCTCCCCTCCCCATCTCCCACCCTGCCACACTGGCAGAGGACAGCTCCCGGTCTGTTTCCTTCAAGGTCTCTGTCCCTTGGGAGCCTCAGGCTCGGGGAGGCCGCCGGGAGAGGGTGGGAGGAAGGCATTCGGGGTGGCGCTTTGCTTTCTGGGCAGACCGGGTCCCGCGGTGGCGGAGGCTGCTCTCTGAGTTGGCCCTCCCCTCTTCTGCCCGGGTGACTGGGCTGCAAAGCCCGGAGCAGAATCGAGGTCCTGTTCCCCCTCCCCCAAAGCCCCAGCCCGCCTTCCTGGCTGGCTCCTGGCAGCTGTGGGGACGGGGAACGGGGCAGCTCTGCCGTCCCTGACTCCCGGCCCTGCCGAGACAAGCTCAGTGCAGCGCTCAATTCCCACTACCTTCAGCCTGGCCGTGGATGACGAGACAGACGGACAGCCGAGGGGCAGGGGAGAGGAAGGAGGGCGGGAGGGACACCACGAACCCCGTGTGTGTGTGTGTGTGTGTGTGTGTGTGTGTGTGTGTGTGTGTGTGTGTGTGTCCGTGTCCCTCTTGTGGGCTACACCGTCCAGCCAGACCGCAGGGAGGAGGGCTGGTAGAGACACCCCTGGGGCCTTGAAGCGCATGCTGGGGTGGGGGCTGTGGGTGGAGGGAGGGAAGTTAGCGGCTTATCTTGGGGCTGCCAAGCTGGACATGGGGTTGTTCTGGAAGATTACGTGGGGCCCAGGGGCTGCTGAGAGTGTACCCAGGATGGGTTCCCAGGAGCCACTGAGCGGCGTGGGCTGGTCCCCCCCCCACTCGGAGAGCCTGCGCGTCTGGTGATGCCGTGGGCCGGGAAGGCAGGGATGTTACAATCACGTAGGCCCCCGGTGGCCATGCCGGGGCTGGGGAGGAGCAGCTGGCAGGGAAGAAAGAGCCGAGCTGGTCTCCTCAGCCTCCTGGAGGCGGCCTCCTGCCCTCTTTGGCATTAGAGCCATGTAAGAAGGCACCTGGGAGTGGGTATTAGGGATCGGGGTTCCAGCTGTGTACCTCTGCGCTTCTTTCAGGACTTTCCCGAAATCCACCCCCTCACCAGGGAACCCCATTCCTCCCCCTGCCAAGTGGGGAAGGATCAGAGGTCATAGGTCACTGACCCCATCAGCCCAGCCTCTCCCCAGCACCCTGTTGCCTCCGTGGCTGGTGCCGACTGTACTTAGAAAGGGACTAGCCTTCTTCCCCCGGAGGCAGAGCCTGGAAAGGAAGGGGCTCAGAGCGCGTCCCTGTCCCTGGTGAACCCCAGGGACACTGAGGGCCAGAGTGGGCAAAGTCACTTTGCCCAGGTTTGCGACCATCCAGCATGGAGCCGGGCTGGGGGAGGGGGGCAAAGGCAGCACATAGCCCCAGGGGGCTGCTGGCAGAAGGAGGAGTTTGAGGACAGGGGTCAGGGCCCCAGGTGGACTGCTGGACTTTCTGTGGTGGCTTTGAGATAGAGACTCAAGCCTTCCACCCCCTCCCCCCCGCCCAGGGCCTGAAGCCCTGAGTTGCAGGGGTGGGCCGTGGGAGTGCCTTCTGGATCCAAAGAGGCTGGCTCTCCCCAAGTTCATCATCCTGAGGTTCCTCCCGCTCTCCTGTGGCAGGTACCAGCTCTGCACCACCTGCCCTTAGCACTGGAGGCGGGCAGGGCAGGAGTGTGGGTCTCATCTCCACCCTTCCTAGAGCCAAGTGGCTGCCGAGAGCCTTCCTTTGGGCCTCCATTTTGCCCAGAAGAGCCCATTCATCCTGTGGCCATCGGAGCGGTGGACCCAAGGGAGCCAGTGTCTGCAAGGGTCCGGGCCCGGCCACGCCCAGCCAGGCTCTGACTCACAAAGGCGTCCAGGACGGTGGGCTGTCGGGGCATCTCCTACACTGGGCCTGGGGGGGGTTGGGTTGGGTTGGGGGGTGAATCCTTTGGCTTGTAGAAAGAAGATGGAGGGAGGGAGGATGGCTGGCCGCGCCAGGTGTCCTGGGGCGGGCTCTTGGGTGGGAAGCTGGGTCCCTGAGCTGGAGACCCTGTCCTGGCTGGCTGGCTGGTCCTTTGGAGCTTGGACTGTGTCTGGGCGCCTCGGTTCCCCTCCACTCTGAGGATCCAGGGAGAGACCCAGCTAAAGACAGCACAGGCTGGGGGCCCGGCCCGGAAGGCGTCCGGGTGGCAGTCAGCAAATGCAGGCAGCATGGCCCTTGGCAGGGCCCTCCTCTGGGTTTCGGTCCTGGGGCAAAGGTCATGTTCCCAGGATGGAGGCAGGCCGCCCTGGGCACTTCACACTGGGGTGTGGCTCTCCTCGTGTGTGTGTGTGTGTGTGTGTGTGTGTGTGTGTGTGTGTGTGTGTGTTATGGCTCTCCCCAGTGCCCTCCGTCTGGGGTCCCCTGGGCCAAGGACACCAACTCTAAGGCTCCATGAGACCTGAGACCAGGAAAGCATTGGGAAAAGCTGGTTTTGAAAATGCTTGGGTCCTGGGCTAGGTGCTGAGTTCCCTGTCTGGGGGGGGGGTGTCTTCTGTCTGTCTGTCTTGCCAGAGTGACCCATCCTTCCGTCCTGGGGTGAGGACCCGGGGCCCCATCCCAGCTGAACCCAGGGCCGCTGGGGCGCCAGCGCCACACTTAGTTCCCGCTCTCGTCCCTAGGTGGCGTCTGGGAGCAGGAGGAGGGAGGGGAGGGGTGGGTCACACCTGGGGGGTGGGAGCCTGGTGTGGGAGCCACCGGGCCTTGTGAGCCTTCCTCCACCCTGGATGCCGCCCGTCCAGGCCCTGAGCAACACCCCAGGCCAGCCCTGTGCCTCTCTCCTTCAGGGTGGGACAGAGCGGGGGCTTCTTGCTGGCCGTGGCCTTCGGCCAGCCCCCTCCCCCGCCCACCTTCCTCCACAACAAACTCAGAATTGGGGCAGGACTTGCAGACACAAGACACATTGGGTGTCAACTGCGCAGACGGAGTGAAGGGCAGCCCCGTTCTAGGATGGCATCCCCCTCCTTCGAGGCCTTGATCTCTTTGCTCTGTGCCCCCCCAGTTTGCCACCTGGACCGGGGCCTGGAGAGGAGAGCTTCCCCCCCCCCCAACAAGAGCTTGAAACGTACACAGCTGGACTGGGGGTCTCCGCTTCCATTTCAAACGAGTCTTTTCTAGAAGAGGGTATATTGAATATTTAATATACGGATTGAAGATATCTAAGCATATAATTTAATAAATATGAGTGTTTGGGGGTTGCGAGATAAAACTTTTATGACCGAATTATACATAATCAGAACAGCATGGCGCCCTCCCCCCCCCCAGTCCTCCAGGTTAGAACTCGGAGACAGAGGAAGGAATGGATTGGGGACCGGAAGCCGTGCCCCCCGTCTTCTAAGAGGGGTTTCACTTAGATTGGTGGTGTTGGGGGGCTACACGGGCATGCGCAGCGGGATTGGGCCGGGTGGAGAGCGACCGGGGTGTCTCAGCTCTCTATCGGGATGCCGGAGGCCTGCAGAAACGGCTCCCAGGAGCAGGCGGGCTCTCAGGTGAAGATGGTCTTCCCGCCGAGATCCCACACGGGAGGTTCAGAAGGATCATCAGTCCCATTTCCCTGATGCGCCAAGCAGAAATCCAGGCAAAAACCGGGGGCTGAGGGGTGGGGGTGGCACCCCATCATGGCGGAACCCTGGACGGAAGAGGCCCCTGGCTTCAAGGGGTGATGGGAAGCAAAATCCAGAAATCCATCTCTTTCCCCAAGGGAGGCCTTTCTGGATGCTCGGTCTCTGGGGGACTTGTGGAAAAGGCCCGGCCTCCACTGGAGGCTGTACCTGGCCTGCTCAGGCGTGCGGGCGACCGGCCGAGCCGTCAGCTGGAGTCCGGGGTCCTGGGTGGTTCACTTGCTTCGGCCCGCGGGAAGCGCGGAGGGAGGTGTTGCTGGTTCCGAGGTGGTGACAGGTCTGGGGTCTGTGGGGTGGTCAGGAACAAGGACAGGGGTGAAGCAGGGTGGGTCG